AATATGACTCTGGCTACTGTGGTAAACTGCCACCATCTAGTCACTGTTACTTTGAGATCTCATCATTTCGAGATTTCCCCCAGATATGAAAAGCCCTGCTCTGTGACTGTCTCTCCTTCCATCAGCTCTAGCTGGCCTCGACTAAAATTCCGAGAGATGCTTATGCCTCTCTCGCTAGCTCATTGCTAATGGTTTTGAGGAAGGGTGTGCACTCTGGGTGCTCTTAGACACCTTAATTGTTGAATGTGGCTTCTAGCCTTATGTAATACATTCACTCTAACCTCCCCACTTCCCTCAATCTCTTTATTCCTATCTTTACCATCAGTCAGGGCAACTCAAACATTTTCACTAAGTGTAGGCTACAGCCTTTTCATACTTCTAAAGAGCCACTGTAACAGCCGACCTATGCCCTGGGGTCCTTGCCAGGGCATAAAATCATGTATCCCAGAAGAGTGTCTCAAAGTCAATAAATTCCCATCTACCCAGTCTTATGTGCTGGCTCCTTCATAAGATTCCTTAAAATCTAACCCCAGTCTGCTCCCCTGGCCCTAATGGCACATGCTAATTCTTATAACCCTTTCAGTGTATAGTGTCTTTACTTTCTTATCAGGACTCACATGTGCCCAGCCAGGAGAGCTGGGAAAGCCATTAGAAAGTGATGTCAGTCTGACCCTAAGACAGAGAGAGGGAAAGCAGGGAAGGAAGGAAGATAAGTCCCAGGCTAGCTCCAAGAAAGTTTTAGCAATGCTGACAGGGAGTCCTTGAGCCACTCACATCTCAGAACTCATCCATCTCCCAGCAACAGGCCTGCCTCACTATACCTGCTACCTTCAGTCTTGGCTGGGAGCAGACTGTGGGGAGCACAGTTGCTCAAACATACTGGAGGATTTTGGAGCAAAACAGCTGGAGCTGTCAGTCACGCTCTTTGCAACAAGAGATCTTGAAGGCAGATTTTCATGACTCCCACATTCCATCTAGGACCTCAGCTGGGATAACTTGACTGGCTGTGGGCTGGCTGGATCTCTCTCTCTATGTATCCACATGGCCACCCAATGGTGAGCTTAGGCCTTTGAACAGCCTAGAGGGGACAGGGTAAGTTGCAAAATGGCTTGGGGATGAACAGTGAGTGTGCCAAGAAACCCAGAAGGAATCTCTATGTCTTCTAACCTTGTTATGAACTCTACATAGTATCACTTCCCCCATACCCCCCCCCCCATATTCTGTCATTACACATCCCAGATTCTTCATGGGATAGTGTCACACAAGAAGTGGGAAATCCTCTTGGAGACCATACCATAGTGGGATATACATGCACATGTGTGCATGCTCAATCGCATCCCACTCTTTTCAACCCCATGGGCTGTCGCCCGCTGGGCTCCTCTGTCCATGGGATTCTCCAAGCAAGAATACTGGAGTGGGTAACCATTCCCTTCTCCAGAGGATCTTCCCGACCGAGGGATGGAACCTGAATCTCCTGCATCGGCAGGTGGGTTCTTTACCACTGAGCTACCTGGGAAGTCACACATGCACGTAAGCTCTCACAGTTCTTCATGTGCCTGCTACAAATGACTGGTCTTTGAGGTTTTCATAGTCCTGACCCACTGAATCATTCAGACGATTGTCTGTAACAACTCATGGGTTATTGATGTGTTCCAAGGGCCTTTAGCATATGTTTGAGAAGCTTTTTTCCCCAGTACTTTTCATTGGATTGCTTCTTAAAAAAATTTATTGGAGTATAGATGATTTACAATGTTATGTCTCAGGTGTATAGCAAAGGGACTGTTATAAATGTATTCACCCTTTTTTAGATGCTTTTCTCGTGTGTTATCACAGAATACTGGGTAGAGTGCTCTGTGTTATACGGTAGGCCCTTACTGATTATTATTGGTTATCTATATGATATACAGTAGTGTATGTATGTTCATCCCAAGCTCCCCATTTATTCCTCCTCCCTCCATGTTTCCCCTTTGGTAACTAGAGGTTTGTCTTCCATATCTGTGAGTCTGTTTCTGTAAGTAAGTGTCATTTGTATAAGTTTTAAAAATTAGACCCTACATATGAGAGATATGATGTGTATCTTTCTCTGTCAGACTTACTTCATTTAGTATAATAATCTCTAGGTCCATCTATTTTGCTGCTATCGGCATTATTTCATTCTTTTTAATGGGTGAGTAATATTCTGTTGTATGTGTATACTTCATCTTCTGTTGATGGACATTTAGGTTACTTCCATGTCTTGGCTAATACAGTGCTGCAGTGAACTATTTGTATATAGTGTGTGTGTATGTAATATTTTATAAATAGTGTGTATACGTCCACCCCAGTCTCCCCATTTATCCCTCCCCCACCTGACCCCCTGGTGACCATAAGTTTGTTCTCTACATCTGTAACTGTATTTCTGTTTTGTAGGTAAGTTGACATGTTTTTAGATTCCACATATAAGTGTATGCACCACATCTTTATGCATTCCTCCACTGATGGACATTTAGGCTGCTTCCATGTCCTGGCTATTGTAAACAGTGCTGCAATGAACACTGAGGTGAGTGTATCTTTCGAATCATGATTTTCTCTGGATATATGCCCAGGAGTAGGACTGCTACATCATATGGTAAGTCTGTTTTTAGTTTTTTAAGGAACCTCCATACTGTTTTCCCTGTTGGTTGTACCAATTTACATTCCTACCACACCCTTTTTAGCATTTATTGTTTGTGGATTTTTTTTGATGACTGCCATCCTGCGTGACGGAGAAGGCAAAGGCACCCCACTCCAGTACTCTTGCGTGGAAAATCCCATGGATGAGGAGCCTGGTAGACTGCGGTCCATGGGGTCGCTAAGAGTCGGACACGACTAAGCAACTTCACTGTCACTTTTCACTTTCATGCATTGGAGAAGGAAATGGCAAGCCACGCCAGTGTTCTTGCCTGGAGAATCCCAGGGATGGGGAAGCCTGGTGGGCTGATGTCTATGGGGTCATATAGAGTCAGACACGACTGAAGTGACTTAACAGCAGCATCCTGTGAGATGTGTGAGACCTCATACCCCGCTGTTCTTGTCAATTTTGAAATGATTTTCATTTCTCTTAATTAATGATGTTGGAGCATTTTTCATGTGATTTTTGACCACCTATATGTCTTCTTTGGAGAAATGTCTGTTTAGATCTTCTGCCTATTTTTTGATTAGTTTATTTTTTTTGATGTAAGAGTTAAATGAGCTATTTATATTAATCCCTTATCAGTTGCTTCATTTGCAAATATTTTCTCCCAGTCTGTAGTCTCTGTTTTCATTTTGTTTATGGTTTCCTTTGCTGTGCAGAAGCTTTTAAGTTCAATTAGTTCCTGTTTATTTTTGTTTTTATTTTCATTATAATAGTAGCTGGATTTTTAAAAAAGATATTGCTGTTATTTATGTCAGTGTTCTGCCTATGTATGCCTCTAAGAGTTTTATAGTATCCAGCCTTACATTTAGATCTTTAATCCATTTTGAGTTTCTGTGTACAGCCTTAGAGAGTGTTCTAATTTCATTCTTTTACATGTGACTGTCCAGCTTTCCCAACACTGCTTATTGATGAGACTGTCCTTTCTCTATTGTATATTCTTGCCTCCTTTGTCATAGACTAATTGATCAGAGATGCATGAGTTTATTTCTGGGCTTTTATGCTGTTGCATTGATCTGTATTTCTGTTTTTGTGCCAGTGCAGTACTGTTTGGATGGCTGTAGCTTTGTAGTATAGTGTGAAGTCAGGGAGTCCGATCTCTCTAGTTCTGTTTTTCTTTCTCAAGATTCTTTTGGCTATTTAGGGTCTTTTGTGCTTCCATACAAATTAAAAAATTTTTTGTTCTAGTTCTATGAAAAATGCCATTGGTAATTTGACAGGGATTGCATTAAATCTGTAGACTGCCTTGGGTAGTATAATCATTTTGATTGATTATATATTGATTGAAAGACCAATATGGTCAATATTGATTCTTCTGATCCAAAAACATGGTATCAGTATATCTTTCTATCTCTTTGTGTCTTCAATTTCTTCCATCAGGAGCTTACAGTTTTCACAGTACAGGTCTTTTGTCTCATTGAACTGTGGACTGTTTTTAAACCCATTTTAGACACTCATTTTATCTTTAAAAACATAATGTATATTTATAAAGAATTTTAATATTGATATGCTGACCATATGACACTTTTTCAAAAGTACAAGAAATCTCACAGTTCAAGGAATACCAACCAATAAAGCACTATGGAAATTCTCTTCCTAAAACACCAAAAGCCTCTCTTTAAATTATTTTCATGACTCAGCCACTATTTATTTTAATTCTCTCTTAAGCATGAAATGACTTTTTGAAAAAAAAAAAATCCTGTAAAGTTGTTTATAGACATGTTTCCTAGTCCAATAGTAGTAAACATAATTTTCTTGTATAAATTAAAAAACAATGGAATGTGGAGCATTTGGTATAGGTTCATCTTAACCTGTTCTTCCTCCAATGCTTAAGATATTCTTTGGGTAAAGAGTGGATCTGGAGAAGGAGACAAGAAAGAACTTTCCAGAAATACCACACACGTTCCTTCATAAAAAATAAAACCAGAGTCTTGGTTTAAGTCCAGCCAGGTTGGCTGCCTGTAAATTCATTATCAATCTTTAACATGGCTCTAATGTATCTCTCTTACCCCCTGGCCACAGTAGAATTTTAATCAGGCTTTTCCTAAGCAAAGGGTTTATCCACATTGGTGCAGACCTGGTTTGGAACATTTTATTGGCAATACCAGTGTCATATTTAGGAACCATAGACTTTTGTCAGACTGGGTTAGCTTGAATGACAAGTATCAATGATCAGCTATATTTGAAATATTGTTAAAGTACCTAGAAATAATAGGCATTAAAATTCATTCCATTCACTGCCAACAAACCTCTAAAGATTTCTTGTCCTCGGTGGAACCAGCATACTGTAATTGTTATTTGGAACTTAATGTAACCTCAACAGCAACAGAGAGACAATGCAGTCCTCTCATTAGGCACATGCTCTAGGATCGTTTATTTTAATGCTTTCAAATAAATATGTTCCATGCAGCACACCACAATAAATAAGGAGCAGCAATGTTCTTCTAGTAAATCCATTCATAATGTGAGTCACCGTGTAAAACACCACATCTCAAGTCTTTGGCCCTGTACCATAGCATAAAGCACACCACATCTGTACCTAATCATATCTGGCTTCATATGGATTTAATAGGACTATGCCAGGAGTGTGTGTAAGCACAAATTTAACCAGAGGTTTCCAGCTATTAAATACAGCTACTAAGTAGTTAAAAGGCAACAACTCAACCCAGAAAGGCTCCCACACTCCACCCCCATTTTTGAGACCGAAATATAAAGACAGAAATGCTCTGGCGAATTTCAGGTCAGTGGACAGTATAGTGGGCTACATTTGGAATACTTGGAGCAAAGCTGGCACAACATGGCACCCAGAAGGCCAGGGCAACACTGAGACTGAATGAACAGGAATACAAGCTGACTTGACTGCAGATGCTGAGCTCTAGAAGGTCTAGGTGGGGACGCTCGCGCCCACTAGGCAGATAACTCAACGGTGCCCTCCTCCTCACTGTCAGCTCTGTTAGCACGAATCTCCACAAGGGTCCTGGCGAATCGGGTCCACTCGTCATTGTGGGGGACTGCAAGCTGCAAAGCAAATGAATGGAAAATGGTCAACAAGCTACCTTTTACACCGAAAGCCTTGAAGCCTGCATGACTGTTCCTCTTGAAACAGATGATTCCCGTGGAATGCAAAGGAAATCAGATATTCTTCCTTGAATCAGATCTCGGAAATGCTGCTCTTAAACTGATAATTTAAGAGAATACTGTCACTCTCAGGAGCACAATCATGTGTGCAATTTATAAAACATTAAAAAACTTCTGTAAACTATACAGTAGCTGCATTAAAGCACTTGCAGTAAGATGACCAGAATCACAGCAAACATGACAAATAAAAACTGTATTATTAGGACTTTGAAATGACAGTGGTATTGTCTCAGTCAATGCTATTGATCCTTTTTAAAAAGATGTTGCTAACATACCAGTATGTATGACAAAAGTACAGCTTATATATACAAAGAAACCTTACTACTGTAGTAAGGCTTTTCTAGCAAGATCCTATATGATGATGCCGATGAATAATAATAGTAACATTTACCAAAAGTTCTGCTCTAAGAATGCTTGACATGTATTCTCTTTCCTCACAGCAATCCGACGTTGGATAATCAGAGTATTTCCATGTTGCAGAAGAAGAAATTGAGACACCAAAAGATCAACTCATCTTGCCAAGGTTGCCCAGCTTGCCAGTATCCATGCCAATGTCATCTGGTATTTATATCCTTAGCCAGTACTCTATACTAACTCACCAAGAAGAGGGATTTATAATCTTATATATATCTTCTCCTGCACACAATTGAGTAAGGAGAAAAATTAATCCCATCTGACACAAATCGCATGCATGAATTTTTGTGAGCTGAGTTGAAGGGTAATGATTTCTGTACATGGCATCCAAAGATGAACTGTTTAAAGGTACCATGCAAGTGTCTGGAATAAAACAGTGTTATTTGAAGATGAGAAGCAGGATCAAGTAGAAGTCCAAATGATTTTCATACAGAATAAAATTTATTTCGACGGTAGAGCCATTTTACTCAGAAGATTACCCTACAAGACGTAATCCGTCTACAGATGCTGGTGCCACACATGCTATCCACATATTTCATAAACATCAATAACACATTCATCCCAGTCAGTGTACATTTTCAAAAATAAGCAAGTAAATCTGAACTCTGAGATCGCTTTTACAGCTGAAAAATTTCTTAGTGTATAAAGCCAAACTTTTAGAACTTTAACTTTTTATTACAGGGGCTGGTATTCTCAGATAGGATCTAGCCAAGACAGGTTATTATAGAGTCGTATCATCACCCTACAAAATACATCCCTCAATGCGTGTTCTGGTCCTCAGGTGGTTTCAAGGACATAATTCTGCAAATGATATCCAGGTGCAGAAGGTGAGTTGTGTTTGTTTTTTTAAACCTTTTTGGGGGTACTTCTTTCTTATTTGTTATTTTGAGAAACGCAATACTAACAAGAACTCGATTTAGTCATGTGAGTGAGCTCTGAATGGTGAAATACTTCCCGAGTGACTGAAATGAGTCCACATTCCTGCTCAAACAGTGACACAGGTTCACAATGGTCTCAGATGGCACTGTTACCGCTTTGCTCAGTCCATCTTCTCTACGTTGAGTTCTCTTCCTGTGTTCCACTATTCTTCACTTTTCTCTTCAATTTTAGAAAATACTGCACTGGGGAAATGCAGTCCTCAAAATAAATTATATGAAAGAGCTAACAAGAAGCATGAGCAGAAATGGGTTATACCATATTTATATGAAAGCATAGGTCTACTCTCTGTCTCTTCTCCAGCTCCTGACCAAGCACCGGCCCCCCGCAGCCCAATGAACCACAAAACAAAAAGCTCAGGAAGAGACAAAAGCCAATCACAATAACATACTTACAAATTTGTCTCATAGAAGATGAGAATCAAGCTAAATCTGAAACACCTCGTAACTTCATATAACATTAAATATTGGAAGAAAGCAGGTCTCACTATAATAAAAGTGATACACTCTAGGGGTTTGACTCCTAAACATAACACTACATTTATTATTAGTTAAAATGGCACAAATTTAAGTTACTGTATGATGCTATATGTAATGTTTTACTGATAGCAAGGTATAGAAAATGTATCCTAAAAAAAAACCAGGTCCATGTGTTTACATAGTTTCATGTGGTGGTCATGGCAACATTGTTAAGAAACAACTCTAATAAACACTATGAAACATGAAGGGTTGACTTTGCAACCAGATACAGTATGGGACAGAACTGAGTGTCATTTATGACATCTGCAGTTGCACATGTCTTACAAATGGAATTTTTCAGAAGTTCTTTTCCTTTATTTGTTAAAGAAATCAAACTAGTAATTCTAATATTTCTAATAATAAAGCACTAAAGGTATATAAGTAGGTTTCACCAAAATTTTGAGGTTTTTTTTTAATTGAAGCATAGTTTAAAATTGTGTTAGTTTCAGTTGTACAGCAAAATGATTTTGTTTTCAGACTTTTTTCCATTTTCCATTATTACAAAGCATTGAATATAGTTAGTTGTCTGTTAATAAATTTTTGCTGCCTAACTGTTTTTATATATAGTAATTTCTATCTGTGAACCCCATACTTCTAATGTATCCCTCTTCCCTCTTATCTTCCCTTTTGGTAACGTTAAGTTTGTTTTCTATGTCTATGAGTCTGTTTCTGTTTTGTATATACATTTATTTCTATCATTTTTTAGATTACCCCATTATGCAATATTTGTCTGGCTTACTTCACGTAGCATAATAATAATCATGTTGCTGCAAATGGCATTATTTCATTCTTTTTTATAGCAAAGTTATATTCTGGCCTGGAGAATTCATGGATTTCGCAGAGTCTGACATGACTGAGTGACTTCACTTTCACTTTATATTCCATTATACATCTATACCATTTTTTTCTTTATCCATTCATCAGCAGACATTCACACTGCTTGCTTGTCTTGGCTGGTGTAAACAGGGCTGCTATGAACACTGGGGTGCATGTATCTTTTTCAATTAGAGTTTTGTCTTTTCCAGATGTATACCCAGGAGTGAGACTGCTAGATCATATGGTAACTATTTTTAGTTTTGTTTTTTAAGGAAACTCCTGTTTTCCATAGTTTCCACACCAATTTACATTCCCACCAACTTTGTTGGAGGGGGTCCCTTTTCTCCACACCCTCTTCAGCTTTTATTTTTACTCTTTGATGTCCATTCTGATCATTGTGAGATAATAATATCTAGTTGTGGTTTGATTTGCATTTTTCTAATCATTAGTGATGTTGAGCATTTTTTCAATGTGCCTATATGACCATATGTCTGTCGTCTTTGGGGAAAAAATCCCACTTTTAAATTTTTTTGGATACTAAGTTATATGAGCTGTTTGTATATTTTGGCTATTAAACCCCTCTCAGTCACAGCATTTGTAAATATTTTCTCCCATTCCTTGCTGTGCAGAAGTTTAAGTCTGATTAGGTCCCATTTCTTTAATTTTGTTTTTATTTCTACTGCCTTGGGGGACTGATCTAAGAAAATACTACTGTGATTCGTGTCAGAAAATGTTTTGTCTATGTTCTCTTCTAGGAATTTTATGGTATCATATATTTAATTCTTTAAACTATTTGGAATTTATTTTTTTAATATGGTATGAGGGAATAGTCTGATTTCATTGATGTACATGCTGTCCAGCTTTCCTAACACTCCTTGTTGAAGAGACCGTCTTGTCTCCATTGATTATTCTTACTGCCTTTGTTATAGATTAACTGACAGTAGATGTGTGGGTTTACTTCTAGACTTGCTCTTCTGTTCCACTGATCTATGTCTATTTTTGTGCCAATACTGTATGATGTTGTTTTTTTTTATTGATATTTTTATTGGCATTTCTAGGATTTTAGTTATAGTTGCAATTTTCTATTTTTTAATCTACATTTTTGGTACAAATGAGAGAAAAATGAAGGTATAAATCAGAATATCATTTTCCACTTTTGCACCAGAGTCAGTTCATTAAACACAATATCAAACTTCCAGAAAAGAATGATTTAATTTCTCCTCCACATGTTTATAGAGGTTATAACATTCATTTCAATATTTTTTTGTTTTGTTTTGCTTTTTCCATTTATTTTTATTAGTTGGAGGCTAATTACTTTACAATATTGTAGTGGCTTTTGCCATACATTGACATGAATCAGCCATGGATTTACATGTGTTCCCCATCCTGAACCCCCCTCCCGCCTCCCTCCCCATCCCATCCCTCTGGGTCTTCCCAGTGCACCAGCCCCGAGCACTTGTCTCATGCATCCAACCTGGGCTGGTGATCTGTTTCACCCTTGATAGTATACTTGTTTCAATGCTGTTCTCTCAGAACATCCCACCCTCGCCTTCTCCCACAGAGTCTAAAAGTCTGTCTGTATGCTGTTTTGATTACTATAGCTTTGCGGTATACCTGAAGTCTGGAAGGTGTGTCTCCTGCTTTGCTTTTCCTCAGTCTTGCTTTGACAATTCTAGGTCTTCTGTGATTCCCATATACATTTTAGAATTCTCTGTTCTAGTTCTATGAAAAATGTCACGGGTATTTTGATAGGGACTGTATTAAATCTGTAGATCGCTTTGGGTAGTATGGCCATTTTAACAATATTAACTCTTCCAACCCAAGGGCATAGGGTATCTTTCCATTTCTTTGAATCATCTTTAGTTTCTTTTATCAATATTTTACAGGTTTAAGTATATAGATCTTTCACCTCCTTCATTAAGTTTATGCCTAGGTATTTTATATATAAATGTTTTATATATATATATATATATATTTTTTTTTTTTTTTTTTTGCTGCACCGCACAGCTTGCAGATCTCATTTCAACAACCTGGGATTGTGAAAGTGCAGTCATAACGACTGGACTGCCAGGAAATTCTTGGTAGGTACTTTTGATATGATTTTAAATGTGATTTTTTTTTTAAACTTTCTTCTTCCAATATTTCAGTATATAGAAATATAACAGATTTCTGTTTATAATTTTAAGTTTTAGCAAA